TACGAAGCCTGTAGTCTTCAGCATGAGCTTGGCATGTCAAAAGAATCAGCAAGCACTGCTAGTTTGACGAGAAAACTGGGGAAACGGGAAACAGTTGGTTCGTGCAGCTTTCTCTAATGCACCTTCCCGTGCTGTCTGCTGAGGGCACATGCACCCAGCGAGCAGCAGGCAGCGTTGCCTGTATCCTGCTGTTGCTGGCATGCCAACACCCGCGCTGTTATGTCTTCTGTGGCATTTTACTCATGCCGTCTAGATTCAGGTAGCATATGCTTGTGTCCTGCAGTGCATGCTTGATGCTTGCTAGATGCATCTAGCTAGTATGGGAGGGAGAAGTTTAGCTATTACCTTGCCAGCTACCAAAATACGCCGTCTGTGTTTTGTTGCTATATTTATGCTGACTCCACCTGACCAGACAAGTGGCCAGCAGGAGAAGGGAAAGGCACTGACAGGAGAGGGTGCTAACGATTTAGGCAACGGGAGCGAGCCAGGCAGAATATGCAGACAGTGGCCCCCGACCGGCTGCCCCTGCAGCAAACATCAAAGTCAGGGTCAAATCAGTGAGTGGCTCTCACAGAGGATGCTTTTCAGTAGGGAGGATAAGCAGATCCAGGCTGTGACAGCTAATCTGTATCTCTAAATCCAGCCCTGTAATTATTATTATAAGCTTTCCAAGAGACCATTAGATTTGAAAAGTAAATTTGAATTTATAAATTGAGTCCTTCTAGATAGGGTCAGGGCCCCATCTGAGGCATCATTTAATAGCATTACAGACTGATAAAAAGTTTGAAAAATCTGCAGAGGGGTCAAAACTGTGTTGAAATGCTTCACAGCCATCCTCAGCCCTTGCAGCGTGTTTGATTCCGGTTAGATCAGCAGTTTTGAGCTGAGTCACAGTTGTGCAGCCTCAATATCTGCCCTGGAGGCCACACACAAACAGCGGGAAAGGAGCTTTCCAACCCAGACAAATAAGGGCATTGAGTCTCTTTTCGGTTACTTGAGGCCTGTTCCCGTGACGGTTCCCCGTCCCGTTACACAAAAACCCAGCTCCACGCTTGTGACATCAGGCTCGGGACTCCAGACAAATGAGGCATGTATGAAGATTACAGCGAGCGTGTTCGGAATTGAGCTGAGCTGAGGACCATCATTTCAATAAGGGGGTGTTCCAGGCAGACATGAAACACTGGGATTTGAAGATGAGTTTCCTGCTTAATTTTTTAATCCCTTTCCAAATCTTTCAATGCGCTTGCTTGTGCTTTCTGTTTTCATCCCCCGCTCCCCCCCTTCCCCTGCTTTGTAGTTTATGCAGACTTTGAGCTATTTTTCCATTTCATACAACTTGTAGCTAATGATCTGGAGCTCTGCGGTTCCGGGTATGACCTTAAGGAAGTCCCTCAGTCTCTCTGGGGCAGATCTTCCTTTGGTGCAAGTTGCCTTACACCGCACCGTGTTTGTGTTCTCATCTGGGAAATAATGACGGTATCACCTTTCCTCCTGCCTTTTGTCAAGGGAGAGAACGACCTGTCTCTTCCTAAAGTGCTTCAGACAATGACTGTGCCCAGACAGCCATAAACACAGCTATATAATAACCTCCAGACCCATCTCCCCAGTTCATTTACACACATGCTGCACACACCGGTTCATTCTCAGGTTTTTTTTATTTATTTAGAAATAATAAAATAAGACATAATATATAAAAATCTGTACAATCCACAATTTGTGCAGTACATTAGGAAGACTTTGATACAAAAAGGCTGCAAACAGGACGCCCTGTTTTTTCAAAAGTTCCTTAAAAAAAGCCCCCCCCCCCCCCAGCCATAAACACAGCTATATAATAACCTCCAGACCCATCTCCCCAGTTCATTTACACACATGCTGCACACACCGGTTCATTCTCAGGTTTTTTTTATTTATTTAGAAATAATAAAATAAGACATAATATATAAAAATCTGTACAATCCACAATTTGTGCAGTACATTAGGAAGACTTTGATACAAAAAGGCTGCAAACAGGAAAATAGTAATGGACAACTGTCAGATGCCTAGATTGTTCACCTTACAATAGCTGCAGGCCAAAAGTCATTACAAAATCAGTTTCTCGTTGGCTGTGGGATGGCAACTATGCAGCACCCTTCTACTTTACAATGGTCGTGAGCAGCCATAATTTAAAGACATTACAGTACTTCTCAGTTTTACCTTGTAATCCATTATGAAAAAGAAGACCTAAGAGAACAAATAAAACATCTGGACCCTTTGTCTTTTCCGAGAAGAGCAAGCGCTAAACTAACAACACAGAAGTTTATCATGGCTGGGAGAGAGTATCATTAAACACAGCTAATAAGTAATGATTTCTACCCTCACTACTTAACCAAGGACAACTCGCACGGAAGAGACAGAGGAAAGAAGAGATCCATCCCCACCTGCCTCGGAAATGCTTTTTGTCACTGTACGCAGTACTACATTTTAGACAATGTGTCTCATTCAAGTATTTTCAGGGAAGGGCAGAAATAACATATTCCCCCCCAGACCCTAAGCGAAATACAGTATAAACCTTCTGTGCGAGCCAGTTGAGCCAACTTTATCCTTGATAAAGAGGCCGAACCAACCCCTCCTGGAGTCTGCGGGTAGAGCTCAGTCAGTTTAAAGGGCCCCTGATTAAGCATCAGCTTGCCCCAGGATCATCGGGAACTGAAGAAACGCTGTCAGTCACCGTGTAGTCCTTAAAAATAACAACATTTTTAAAAATGACTAACCCAATTTGCTGCTGTAGAAGTGTGCTACCATAGCCTGTCCTTACTGGGCTTACCACGGCGTTTGAGAAACACAGAAATCATGGACAAGGGGGAAGGGATCCATGGAGTGTACATTGCAGGTCTCCTTCTAGCAGCTTCCCAGAGCCAGAGGCTGAGTGCAATTCTGCAATGTAAGATTCAATCGGCAAAGACAAAGGGTTATTAAAAAAAAAAAAGAAAAAGAATGCAGCAGAGAGTGTAATGGATTACCTCAATGCACACCCTCGACAAGACTAGCACTCGGAAAGCTGGTAACTTTTAAAAATGCCAGTAACTGGAACGTGTTTTCAAATTAAAAGTCCATGCTTAAAAATAAATAAAGAGAAGTTCATAGCATTAGGAATCCTATAAGGCTTGCAAGTAGTTGCTAAAAATCATGCTAACCGGTAGCATCTAGGTACTAGCTAGCCAAGACTGCCGAGCAGAATTTATACTTTTTGTGGCCTTTTCTTTTTCTTCTTCTCCTTGTCCTCCTTTACAGACTTCTATTTACATTTGGCTTTAAATATGAAAATACTTGATAAACTTTATAAAATGTACATTTTAAAAATATTTCTGAAAAACTGACTTGAAAAACAAAACGAAACAAAACAAAACAAAACAAAACAAAAAAACCCCCAAAACCTCTGCACCAGAAATGTTAAGGGGGGAGGGGATTTTTTTTTTTTCCTCTGAATTTCTTTTGCTTTAAAGAAACAAGCTGGATCCTGCATTTCCCCATCCCCCGTCTCTCATCCCTCCCTCAAACATGTCAAGTATCATTTAGTGGGAGCACTGTGCACCTGGGGGATGCTGACCTGGAGAAAAGGTCCCCTTTCTCCTGCTCAGCCTCCCTTTTCCATCCCTTCCCCATTGCGTTTTCATGCACCCTCTCTTTCACTGAATACTCTTTGGTTTATTTATTTTCCTTTCACGAGAATATCACAATAGCAGCACTAGCAGCACTCAGTTGTCTTCACTACTGTTGACCCAGAAACTGCAATCAAATCGCCTTTATATGTTCAGCCTTTCCTTTCTTTTATGTCCCCCCACCCCAGTAACAGCCTTAGTACTTGCACTTAATCATCTGCCCTCTCTAGTAGCCAAATCTATGTTTACAATGTCGAATTTCCACAGTTTCGAACCCACCCACTGTAGATACCATCTTATTTGAAACCATTTCATTGCAGGCATTTCTTTCAGGCAGGGCTGGAAGGGGCCAGAGGCCTTCACAGATATCTGTTTGCAGAAGACATTAGACCTAGAACAAGCTGTTTTTTAATGGCATACAGTGATCCAATACTGCAAGAGTTGGCTAGGATTATCGTCCCCACCACCACCCCTCTCCACCTGCTCTTTGAGGAGCAGGCGTGAAGCACAGGTTCGCTGTCTCCTTGATCTTAGAGGCACAGAGAATTTAAAGCCTTCTGGGTGAAGGAACCAAAATACCGCTAGAGCCAGAGCTTCGCAGAAGGTCACAAAATCTGCTCGGAGCTCGGTGACATGTCTTATCCACTGACCACTCGGTGTTTGCTGGGGAGCGGAGGCAGGAGATGGACCTCGCTTTGCAGCCTCATCCTCCCCAAATGAGATGGAAAATACACTTTCTGACACCCTTGCCCTGCTGAAGAGAAGCATGTTTTACAAAATGCTACAGTCCCTGTGCCATTCCCAAGTGCTGTGTTGTAAAAGTTGTTTTCTCTTTTCCTCTCCATTACCCTCTCCCTTCCTCTTCAAAAACCTCTTCCCGGGGATTTATCTATCGCTCGGCTCATCTGTGCCTAAACGCCTGCTCCAGCAGCGTTAGCCTCTAGCATCGATCAGCAGCTTCGCGTGTCTCTGGCATAGTTTAACGGGGAACACATCGGCGGCCAAGGGGCTCGGGTCAGACGCCTGCAGCACATAGAGGATGGCTCAGTTTTCAGGAGGCTGGGTGAGCGCTGAGGTCTCGCATCAGTTTGGGAATGTGTGCACTAACACTTGACCTGCCGCTGCAGCCCGACTCGGCGAGCGACCGGGGAGGACAGATGTTTGCTTGTTTGCTTTCCCCCGACTGCGTTTCTCCTTACAAGAAAGGAAGGGAATTTATTTCCCCATAGAAGAGCAGGGGGGAAGGGGAAGAGTCCTAGCTCACTTTAGATCCGAGTCTTAAGCTTTTAGAATAAGGTGCAAAATAAAGGTCCTAAAAAGAAAAAGAAAAAAAAAAAAAAAATCAAAACCAAAAAGAGTGTCTTTTTTTAATAAACTCCGCTGTGCAAAACTGCATTTTCTTTGGTATCCATTTAGGTAGTTTTAACTTAGTACTTTTTCTATGTGTATATATATATATATATTTTATATTTCATTTTTCCTTTAGACAGAGAATTAAATTCTCCCCCCCCAAAATCATAATTTTGCTGGAGGCTACTGATTGGCCTGATATTACATAATGCCCCTTATGTAATTGGAAAGAGAGAAATTGATTCTAGCTATCAAACTACTGGCCTCAAAAGGAGTTTAGACTTTCTGGCAACATTGGCCTCTCTGAAGTGATCACGAGCTTTTCAACCCAAAAAGTTCAAAATTGACTTTCTTTTTTTTTTTAAATTACACAAGAGAAAATAAAAACTACACTGCAACAAAAATAACCATTTGTGTTCATCCAGTTAGCAGCAGCTTTTTAAAAAATAATTATAATAATAATAATAAGGCAGATTCTTGCCTTTGTTATGCCATTAAAAACATTCTTGTTCCCTAGAGAGAAGCATTCTGGAAAAAGTTGAAAAAAAATAATAATAACCCAACCAAAGCTTGCCTGCAAGTTCAAGTTTTGTAAAAAAATATATACATAATTTATTCTACAACATATGTGCCTTCTGTTCATACTTAGACATGTTTAGTGCTTTGTGTTTAGAGTTCATTTTCTGTCACCCCTCCTCTGAGGACAGCCCTAAAACCAGCCTGGGTTTCTCAGGTCTGCTTGCCTTCACACCACTCTTCAACAGTACCGTTGTCTGAAAACTGTTCTGGGCCAACTTCTCAGGTCAACGTGCCTTTGACCGATAGATGTTTTGTTTTTTTTTTTCCTTTCAACCAAAAGAGAGAGGAAGAGTTTTCAGTCATATTTCCGACTCCCGCCGTAGCGGCCGTGGGGGCAGAGGCACCCCCCCC